AGTGTTGCAGGGACAGAAATAAGAAAATGTAAAGTGTAGAATATGAGAAAATAGACAGTTGCCTGGTTTACCTAACTACTGTAATATTTCTTTAATCTCATGGAGCCCTGATAGCCTAGCGGTTGAATTGCACGCCCCATGTACAGAGGCTACAGTCCTTGTCACAGCGGCTGTGGGTTGGAGTTCAACCTCGGCTCTTTGCTGCACGTCTTCCCCCACTCTCTCCCTCCAACATTTCCTGTCTCTGGTCAGCTGTCCGATAAAATGAAGACAACCGTGGTCCAATAAAACAACAAAAACATGCTTGGAACTTGTACTATTACAAGAAAGTGCATAACAAAGCCGAGTGACAAACTTGTGTGTCCCCTGTGATTTTGTCTGCACACAACACAACAAAGAGAGTAGGAACTCTCAACTTATTTTCCACTCCCCCTTGTCCAAAGTGACTTAAAGACGTACGATAGGCTCAGTTCTTTACACTTCTTACTAAAAGCATGTTCAGTGCAACAAGTGAGAGGTAATGTCTTTCATATCAATCTCCATTTAGTCAGAGTTACCATGCAAAAAAAATAACAATGGCTCCAAGCAAAGATAGACCTGACACTTACTCTGAAAAAGACTTGAAAAAACAATGGCTGCCTGAAACATTAAGGAAAATGGTTCGAAACGTATATTTCTACATTTTGAAGTTTTTTAAACTTCAAATGCAAAATACAAATGCACAAATATATATGGCTTAAAGTAGAGAGTACGATTTTGTTCATAATTTAGCGCAAAAAAAGTAAAATGGAAACATCTTTGTATAAAAATGGGATTAAAGTTGAGTTCAAAGCAAACTGCAGACACTCATCCAACCCACTGATCTCTCACTTTACACTCTTTTGGCTTCAGACTGCTTCCTCTTTCTGCTCTCATGCCCCTCTCACGCAATACCTTTGTGCTGGCACCAACATATGTCTCTCATTCCCGATGCACACAGCATGTTATGTGAATTTAAAATACATGATCGTTTCATGCAATTTCATCAGACGTGCCTGCGCTGGAGAAGTTGGAGATAAAATTAGCTCTGGTACACGAGAAACCAAAGTGACTGGTTTATCGTCATGTGTGGTTTGTTCGCCAATTAAGTCTCTTGATATAGCTTTCTATTTCTGGACGAGGTGACAAACACGGTTGAATACGTGCCTTTGAAATTCCTCAGTTTTTTCTTGTAATTAGAGAACAGTTATTTATGGTAACTGTAAGCGGTGGAAATTGTACCTTGTGTTTTTGAGTTGTTTGTAGTTTAATAAGTCTCAATGCTGGATCTTGTGAATGTGTTAAAGCAGCTTCATTAGTTTGTCATGTGTTTAGTGAAGCACAATAATCAATGTGTGAGGAGACATATAACTGAACACCTGAGAAATGAGAAATGTAGGTCTGGTATCAATGTTTGTTCGATTTAAAGGTTCTATATGTAACTTTTTACATGTATAAATAGTTTTTTATCGCCCATTAATAAGCGAACGGTTAACTGATGTGAAAAAGTCGATGTTCACTGTCTATCTGTGTTGCCTGTATAAAAAGTTTCTCCGAGTTGTATTTTCCGTGAAAGCTCCAGGAAGTGATATTTTATGCATGTTTTCAACGTCCTCCTCACTCCACTCCGCTTGCAGAGAACAACAGTACAAACTCATCACACACTCCCGGTCTTCACCTCCACAGCCAGAGGCCGTCTTCCACACACTTCTATCCGCCCTAAGAGCTCTCAAAGGCGGACAAACTCATCACACACTCCTGCTCTCAGCCAGTGCCTGCCGAGACTGTGGTTTGTAGGATGGAGAATGAATACAAACACACAGACTCCTTCACAGACTTTCACATGTGTATGACCACTTAACTCCTCTGTAAACATTATGTCAGTAAATATCCAGTGTTTCGCAGCTGATGATGATGCTCGTTTGTGTATGTACGAGCACGTATGACGAGCACGCGAGGGAGATCGAGCAACAGGTTACTGGTGCAGTTCGCCTAACGGCCATGCGGTGTCGCTGCTAACACAGTATTTTTGAAAGTTACATATAGCCCCTTTAAATTGGAAAGTTGTTTAATTTGGAACATTTATTTACAAAAGGAATTATTTGAGACTATCCTGGAAGAAGTTTGAATTGGAGCTCAAAAATGAATTTTGTTTATCCTGCAACAGTGTAATAATCTGATACAGAATTAAGTATATTACCGAAGGATCAGGTGTTCTCCTGATATAAAACTAACATTACAGGATTTTAAGGACTATGTTTCCAGTTTGAATTCAAAAGAATGAAAGAAGATGGGCTTTTAAAATGTAGTTTTAATGATAGAAATCAGTAAAGCCTCTGAGGACATACCAATGTCTAAAATCACAATAACTGTTCTGCCTGTGAATATTTGACAACAGGTTTCTTGACGTCACATTTAGCGGGCTATACATTTTTTTCTTCAGAGGTTTACTGCCTACTCCATCCATTAGTTGCTGGGACCAGTCTGTCAACTCAAGACCAAAGTGGCATCAACCCATCGACAAGCAAACTGGCATTACTCACCATTAAGTGATAAAAGTATTTCAAGTAATATTTCTGTACACTACTTCTTCAAATTAGTAACGGTCACTTAATAATACCAAACTGTCCAAAAATGAAAAAAGTCAATGTTGAGGGGTTTTTTTAACCATCAAATCAGTTGTTGACAAATCAGAGCGGTGGTTATGTTTCTAACTATGGCGAGAAATGGTCCTGCAACATTTTAACTCAAAGCTTAGCTGTCTCCATGTTGTTGTTTGGACCTGAGATTCACAGTGATTCTCTGTGAGGCCTAATCAGAAAGCAGATGTATTTATGTAGCTGTGATTGGTGAAAGCTGTGGTTGAGACTGACAGCTAACCGATCAAAGTGAATTCATCCAAAAAACACAACACATTAGAAGGTTCATTTGATTTCTGTCTCCTCTGCCTTGAGTCCTGATTTTGTATCGGTCCTGATAGGAGCATTAGATCAGAAAACCAGTCTATACATTGTTATATTGTTCCATTCAGAATATAAATATTTGTGTTTGGAGAAGTCACTGCACACTCAGCCTATAAAAATTTGATCAAGGCTCTTTTATTAACTGTGATCGGAGCCTCATGTTGCACGCAGCTCTTCATCAGGCTCAAGAAAAGCTGCACTGTGCCAGGGGCATAAAAACACTCACTGCAACCACATGTTCATCTTCTTGTGTCTCCGGCTAAACACACAACTAGAGTACATTGTCAGATTTGATAACACATTCCCAGCTCTGCTGTAATTCAGATTTGGGATTTGCCCTCCTTATTATTCATTAGAAACCATAAATACGCGTGTTATGCAAGTGTTACATTATGCATTCATGTGATAATGAAAAGTCCAACATCTGCATGTTGAGTTGCTGCAGCCAAACGCAGTTTTAATAAGACGGCCAATAAAAGAACACAAACACGCGGCTGCAGCTGCAGGATACTTGAGCGCTGCCGCAGCCTCTATTGTGTTCCTTCTAGTTAATTACAGTCGGACTCAGGTGCATTGTTGATTTAGTGTATAAGGCCAGTCACTCACACAGACTGATGGCACCATCATTTCTCCATGGTATGTCATCATCATCTATGATTTATAACGGTTATTAAAAGTATTGACACAAGTTAAAGTGAAATATGGTCTGACAGTGATAACACGAGGCACAGAGGACAAAGACGGGGTAAAAACCTGTGTTCAAATTATCACAATTTTAATCCACATCGAGTCGGTGCAAGACTCGAATGATTGCTAATACTCCAAAAATGAAACAGACATGTTTTAAAAGAGGTTAAAAGTTGTATAATTTTGGTTAATCTAGTAATAAATTGTATTAGAAAAAAGGACTTATTCCTGCTTCAAGGCGCATCTTGAGTTGTGCTTGTAATAATATACTGTTCTGCCTCGACACTGCATCTCCACATCTTACATGATGTCTCTCTTCAAAGCCTGTGGGGACATTTTTGGAATGTCTCCACAAGGACTTACTGTAGTCCTGTTTGCTTGTGATGTTCAGTAAGAGTGAAGGCACAAGGTTTAACCGGAGTTTAGATTAAGAGAAATAATAAAGAAAGTGTGTGACTCATCTAGTCATCTTGATTCTTCCCACACAGCTGCAGGACTGCACATGACAGCAAGTTTCTCTCAACTACTGTTCATTCACATTTTATCAACGTGCACCTACATTTTTTTTTTTTTATCTGTAGCCAGATTTTATTTTTGACACTTCTTTTTTTCTTTTTTTTTTCTCTCTTGCTTTTTTTCTTCTTTAAATGAAGGAGTTTTGCGAATCTAAGTTCAAATGCACCGGCCAGAATTAAGCATCAAACGGTCAACACTTGACTTCTGCGTGTGCTTGTAGAAATAAGAGCTTAAGCACCGTGTCAAACTGAAGCTTAATGTAAAGAAGAAGAAGAAGAAGAAGAAGAAGAAGAAAAAGCCCTGACTCTTTACTGACCTCAGACATCAAACATTTAAAATGTAGGACACAAGATGCCAACCAATGTTTAAGTGCGGACTTGGAACCAGAGGAGCTCTTAATGTAAGAGAGAGGGAGGAAAACCCTCTCCAGCTTCCCCCACCCCCATCTTTCTGCATCTTTCTGCCTCAGAGTCAATTAACCTAATGGAAGTGGCAATTAATTAACCCGGCAAACACGATGATTAAGGACCTGACAATCAAGCGAGTGGGAGGGGTTTAAGTGATGCTGATTTAGAGGTAATGGCTTTTCTTTGATGCAGCAAATAATAGAAACAGAGACGCACATGCACTCTGGATTAAGCCAGATTTATGTCAATTAAAGGTGCTCAGAGCTGAAAGAGTCAGGGAAGAAGTTCAAGTATAGACTTTCTAATAGCAGTAAACCTACAATTAGGGCTTCGAACAGATGTTTATAAATAAAAACACCTTTTTTGGGGGGCTATTTTTTCCTGTCTCACAGCAAAATAAAGGGCTTACCGTGTTTCTTGGTCCAGTGGTTCCTATTGGTCCTCTGAACACCCCCTTGATGCTCCTCAGTTGTCCGTCACGCAGGTGGGTGGAACTGATCACAATGTAGTAGCACGCCATTGGATTTAACTTTTTGAAACTAAAAGAACAATCTAGTGCTACTTTAAGAAAAAAGAAAACAAAAAGTCGTCTTCTTCTCCTCCTTAATATTCTGCTCCGGCTCTCCTCATTTCCTCCTCTGCTTTATAAAGAAGAGGAGGGACTGAAGAAATAACACGAACAAAAAAAAAAAACAACAAAAAGAGAAAAACTAGGAGCGAAGTGCCCCCCTCCTCTCCTGCTGCTGCTCTGATTTATTCTCTCTCTTCTCAAAGTTTTGTGCCGGTGACTCTCTGACTCTCCGCTCGTCTTCCCTCAGCTTCTGTCTCTTTTTAAATATTTCACCCTCTGCTCCTCCTTCCGCTCCTCTCTTATCCGGCTTCTCTTCCTCTAAATGTTTTTATTCTCTTTTCAAATTCTCTCTAGGTCTCCTTTGAATTATTTCTCACTTCTTTTTCCTCTCCAGATGTTTTGCCCCCATCTTTCATTCATCAATCTTTCCTTGTCATTGGCTCCCCTCAGCCTCCTCCTCCCTCTTATTCTTGCTGAGTCGAAATTTCTTGCCGAAATCTCAGCCTGCTCATTGATCAGCCTTGCAGTTCCTCTAACTATCTCCCGCCGGCTGCCTTCCTCTCTCTCTCTCTCTCTCTCTCTCTCTCTCTCTCTCTCTCTCTCCACTTCAACCCCCTCTTTGGTTTCCCCTCCCTCTAAGTACAAAGCAGGGGTACTTTTTCCTCCTCCTCTGCTTCTCTCTTTGTCTTTGTTTCTCTCTTTGCCTCCTTGTTAGTGAGGAGAAGAAGAGCTCAGTCTTTTTCTGTCAGAGGCGGCGTGCAGCTTCCTCTCAGATGCTCCTCTCCTCTCCTCTGCTGCCTGCGCTGCATGTGTTCGCTCTCCTCCCTCCCTCCTCCTCCTCCCTCTCTCTGCTGATCTCTTGCTCTGTGGCCAGCAGAGTGGTTTGCTCCTCAGTTACCCGCGGTTACCATCTGCCCTTTTAACGCATGGAGTGCTGACGCTTGCTCTCTCCTCCCTCCCTCTCCAGCTCCATTCCTCCCTCTCCATCTCTCTCTCTGCCTCTCCTCTTGCTGTCTTTCTTCTCGCTTTAATCATCTCCTTCGCTCCCTTCTTCTCTCTTTCTCTCGAGCCAAAGGAGACAAGCTCCACCTACTGGCAAGCAGGAAGCACAGAGGGGAAAAGAAGAAGCAGCAGGAGGTGTTCTCTGATTTCATGCAGGTTATCTTTGAGAACTCTTATTTCATTAATCATTTTGTGTAGCCTAAACAAATATTTTAGACTGAAAGCAAAAATGGAGCTGGTTGTGATCTGGAGCCCGAGGGCATGGTTTACGATCAGATCTCTGGTTCTGGTTAGGGGTCTTTAAACAGAGAATCTCGGGGGGGAGAAAAGAAGAAAGGAAAACGCTGACCAAGTGGTTCTGAGCACAAAGTGGTATGAAATGCATTCACATAAATGACAGATGGAGGGCTAAATATGCCCAGATAATAATGTATTATTAAAAAATTATAAAATAAATGAAATACTGAAAGTTAAGTGTTCGCCTTTGTAATATGATTTCAGCCCACTGTCATTGCAAAGCATGATATTGACATTCTGAGCCACCCTACAATTTAATGTATAAATGTCAAGTACTAGCTCGCATAGGTGTGAAAAGTGTACATGTGCAAAGAAGACGTACTGTATCCCAACCTGTCAAATAAACTGGACCCATTGAGGCTAAGTTGGTTTTGTTGCCTTCTTCATTTTCATTCTTTTTTTTTTTTTCTGGAGCTCGAAGTGACCATATCTTGACTCAGGTCTGATACTCACAGGTAAACTTAAGTGGTTCAAATTAACTAAGGGGTATCCCAGAAGACAGCCTGGGGCACCCTCCTGTCACTCAAAGCATCCATGCCTTAAATTATGCATGACTTCAATCATTCGTGTATCATTTAAACAGGTGGGTTACATAAGAATGAACCTGCCATACAGTTTTTATTGACAAGGAAATAAGCTACAGAGATGAAAACAGTTTTTTATAACAAGTAATGAAAACATGTATTTCTGCTGTAAAGTCATTTATAACTGTGGACCTGTATGGAGACTGACTTCGATTGGCCATTCAAGAAACTGCAGTTTTTTGCTCCTATACATGGTTTGGGGCGGCTGTGGCTCAGTTGGTAGAGTCGTTGCCTCTCAACTGGCAGGTCGAGGGTTTGATCCCCAGCTGAGCAACATGTCCAATGTGACACTTAACCCCACATTGCTCCTGCTGCTTCGGTGTCGGTGTATGAATGGATTAGTGTTGTACTTACTCTCTGATGTACGTCGCTTTGGATAAAAGGGTCTGCTAAGTGTATTGTAGGTAAGGTATTTTGCCAGCACACAGAGATTGGTCAAAAGTAGTGGGGGACCAAAATCTCCCGTCCCCTCATAAATCACTAAACTGAATAAAATATTCTAATCAGCAGCAAAGTGTCACTTCCCCCTTTACAACCAACACAAATGGTCAGACAGGTTGCAAAGAAAAACTCAGCAGCACAATTACCTGAGCAAAATGATTTCAAGTGACTGTGGAAAGGAAAAACGAAAAGTCCATTAAAATCCTGCATAGCATTAGAGAACTGCAGCGGGTCAAAGATGAACCTAGAAGTAACTCTGCAAAAGCTAATGGACATTTACAGCCGACAGTTTGGGCGATAATTCTGAAATTATTTTTTATTTTATACTCTTAAGTGCTTTGACTCGTGAAAATGGGGATTTGCTGCTTAATACCATGCTAAGGTGTTTCTATGTTTCCATGTTCTAGTAGTTTTTTCTTTTTGAAAACAATATTTTGAAATGCAATGTGTTTCATAATTACAAACATCTTCTTAGACTAAAGGACAAACTGTTTGGAACTTGGTTGAAAAATGTTACTCCAACCTACATACTCAAAGAAATCATACTCTAGTCATGACTTACTTTCACACATTAGCCCATTTCAGACTGCTTTTTATTACGCAAAAGTGCCGACATCATCATATCTTTGTACATTCATATTGATTCCGAGACGGCGTAATATTTGGTGTCCTAGTCCAGTGGTTCCCAAAGTGGGGATCGGGACCCCACCAGGGGGGTCTTGAGACACTGAGAGGAGGGTTGCGAGGTTCCTTCCAAAACCATAAAAATCCAAAATAGCATATCTTATCCATTATTGTGAAAAATATATAGGCTACAAACATAGTTCAAGAGATTTCAGGTGTTCTGCTTCTAGCGTGTCTTACGATAAATTACTAAAATAATATTAGGCTGTGTGTTTTGGCAATAGTGTGGCTGGCTGTGCGCAAAATTAAATGTTTTTACCACCTCCAGGGACAATGGGGGTCCCCAGTTGCTAGCACCATTATTTGGGCGGGTTACGGGCTGAAAAGTTTGGGAACACCTGTCCTAGTCTATGAATTCACATTGTGTTTCAGCGTGGCCCAGAGGGAGCTCCCCATATTCAAGCAGTTAGACATGTATGCACACACAGAGTTGTGCTCCCCCGCTGGCTCTGTTAAAACTGTCTCGCATCTGTTACGCCTCCGTTACTACCTCCAAAGACGGTACAGAGGTGGGATCACTTCATCCCCCCTATTACGTCTCTGCAAACAATCAGATTGAAGACTAAACATTAGAGAGACACTTTCCATTTACGATCTTTAAAGGTGAGAACACAACTGATGCTTTTATTTTTTATTTCTCTGATTATAACTGTTAAATTATTTGTGGGCCAAAAACAAAATAAATCAGCTGACAATAATTTGTTACAGTCTGGCAACAAAACATTCTCTGACTCCAACCACTCTTTGAACAGTGGATACAAACTGTGAACATCAAACAGAGGCAGGAATCTAAGATTTAATAGGATAAAAATGGAGCACTGTTTTGTACAAAAGTCCCTCCTTTAATTGAATAGAACTGATTCCAAGATCAAATGTGCATAAAGGCCACTGTCTTCTGAAGACACTTTTATGCTCTCTGTGATGTCTGACTCGGTTTGTTAAAACTTCATCAACATCATTAAGGATTGGAGAAATCTTACTGTAAAGGTTTGATATTCAAAAACTGAGAGTTTATTATTAAATTTAGGAACAGACCATATCTCAGATTTAGTTAATACTGACCTTGTGACAATAAACTCAGGCTCTCACCTTGGAAAACAAAAGCCTAAATGAATAGATTCATGGTACACATCGATGTCTTAGAATTTGTTGTATCTCTGCATCCAAAACCACGTGTGGAGCATTGTAAACTATCATGGGTAAAACTTTGTGTTCCATGTGAATTAGCTTCATCAGCCAAGCATGTGAAGGCAAACGCAGGAATAGGACTGTGCCCTAAATAAATGTACGCACATCTAGTAGTACAGCAGAGCTGGAACTACAGATGTCTAGATCTCTATCAGTCCTCTGCTTCAAACATAGTCTCTAAGCGAAGACAGCATGTTTCTTCATGAAATTATAAATTTGGTAGTCAAGATTCAAAGTCCCTTAACCCTTATCTTCGTTTATCAGACAGACATGGAAGTTTTCTGTTCGGCAAAAACCTTTCCAATAAAAACGGCTCTTCAATTATATTTGTGTCCCTTCGTATAAGCAGTACAGAGAGTTGATGCTTTCTGCTTGTAGCTCTGGTTCCAGTTTCAAAGAGCCGTGACCAGATCAGAGTAATTCAGCAGAACATTGAAGTGCTCTAGATATGATATAGGGCCAGAGGTAGTCAAGCAACTTGTAGCACTTTAAAAACAAATAACAGAAGCAAACAAATAGTTCTCCATGGGAGGTCAGAGGAGGTGAGATAGTAGATCTCTGCTGGATACCGGTGAGCAACTGGGCAGACGAGCCAGACAGAGAGGACTCACGCAGAGAGACACAGAAATCAAGATGGTGAGAAATAAAGACATGTAAAACAGTCTCCTGATCCCTAAACGAGAAATGTCTTTTTTTAGAAAGTCGAGTACCTCAGACTCTTTACTATTGTGCTGAAAGCTGAAATTGATCACTCTTGTAATCCACAGGAATTCACACTATTTGAGAAAATCTGAAGTGTTGTTTGATCCACAATTCAGATTGAGATATATCTTGAGTTATTCTTATCTGGATTTATTCCTTTGCCCTGAAGGTAATCTGTCAGCTTCTATTAATATGTATGTTTTTTCTCTGTGCCTGAAGAAGTTAGAACACAAGATTTACATGAATATGTCTGGCTAGATCCAGGATTTGAGGCTTGGCTTTTAGTTTTATGATCTATTTAAGCTCTGTCCACATGAAATATCCCTCCTTTTCTTGCTGCTCTGATCTCGGTGTTGTCCAAATATTTCTGTTCTTGGCATTCTGAGTGCTCTTTATTAACCAGAGCAATAATCAACATGAATAAAAGCTTGGTAGACTCAGATTTAAAAGACTTGCAGTGTAGCTTAATGCTGTGTTTTCAAGCATAGAAAATCGTGCCTTGTTACCAACTCGTCTCACTTTAACTTAAAGTCAGGGCATGTAGTTAATATGCATATTTCTGTTTTCTTTACTTAATTAGAGCTGATTGGGGGGAAAAGCGTTAGTTCAATTAATACAGATGATTCATGGATTGGTGCCGAGTATAGAAATAAAAAAGCACATCACCAAATGTAATCTCGTTGAAATTAACTTCTTGAAACTGAGACTTATTAATAATAAAAGCAAACAAACAAAACATGCTGTTTGAGCCATATTTTGACCTTCACTTTGTAAATGACAACAACAAGAAATATCCATATCCAAATGGAAAAAAAATGTTTTGTTACTGCTTATAAAAATTAATCTTAACTACCTCTAAACTGAAAGCCTGGTTATGTTTAAGTTCAGTTCCTCCTTTGATTATCTGTGATGTCATTCAAACGTCATGTTTACATTCAGAGCCGAAGCCCACACTTCCTTAAACACATTTAATTAGTCACTTAACAAAAACATAACACTAAAGGCTTTGGAAATAAATAAAAAATTCTAAATAAATAAATGATATTTCTTCTTTTTCATACTTTTGAG